AAGAAAATGGTAAAAATTGTAATATTTATGTAGAGAAAGGCTGAAGATAAGGCGAAAGCATGTCCTTGAAGAGGATTCAGAAGGAACCAAGTCCTGAAAACAAGTGCGTTTAGATAAACTTGAAGAAGAAGTATCGAGCGGACACTCTGGAGCCAATTTTCGGTGAATGCGTCGAGATGGAAGTCAATATCCCAGTAGAGAAGGATCTGATCATCACTGTGATGGACTATAGGAAAGTAATCGCTGGTGAGTAACTAGCTTGTCCTCATACCTGAGCGTGCTGCAGTACATATGACGGATTGGCATGACAATTCTTTGTTGACGTGAAGAAAATGCTCTGTCAAAATCTATGGTTTCAGATGATACAATTGGCTCAACCAGGATTGACCTTGAAAATCGCCTTCTCACGAAATGGCGAGCGACAGTCGGACTCAGCGCGCAGTATACGATCCAAGGCGAAATGCAGTGGAGAGATCAACAGACCCCATTGGCTACGCTTCGAGGGTCTGTTTGGAGAATCGTGAACCAGAACCGACTATTCGAGTGACTCTATTTCAGGTACTGTAAGAAGATGTTAGTAGAGCCACCGACGATCATCGAAAAGCAGAATGACATTGGGCTCAAGATTCTTGGAATTGAGTTCTGGCATTCACAAGTACAACAAGAGCTGGATCAGTAAGATTTTTTTATAAACTAAAATCGGTGGTGTCGCGATGGTCAAGAGTGCTGCTACCCATTCATGTTGAGGGGATGAACTTACGGTCGACTTCGTGGATTACGGATCAGTGCTGCCCTCTATTTCAATTGAATTTGTTTTGTTGAGCTGAGACACTTGCATTAGGATTAAGACTTCAAAAGACGACAGGACTTTTTGAAAGGCATATAGTCCAGACGCATTCAAGTGCCACTGCGATTTGGAATGAAAGCTGAAGCATGGCGCATGCTAGAAAGGAAGTATCCAATACACCTGCATGGAGACAGCTGGTATGAATCGACACAGCACTACAGAGAACAGGGAGTCCATCCCCTGAATCCACCTGCGTCTCAGGGCAAGTACATGGTGGCTTTTGGTCCGCGATTTACCCCCTATCCGCCACCTGGGGTCGCGCACACGTAGCCTCGCCACCAACTAGAGAGATCTTGGCTTGCATAGATTAGCACTGGCTTCTAAAATATACAGTTAAAGATCCGTTTGGTTCGTGTTCTGCGATACTGTATTTAGATCCGTTTTAATGTGGAAGGGAAAGTGGCTCTCTTGTCCCCCCCCCCCCTCTATAATTATAGGATGGCACCATCTTCATGAAACCTATTTTCAGGCGCGATCAGGCATTGTCCCAGCGCTCCCAGCGTTCTCCAGCCGGAAAGGAAGCCGAGGAAAAGAGAGGAAGTGAAGCTGATGACGCTGACAAAGAAAAAGAAGAGGAATCAAGGAGGAAAGGGGTACGAGTTTTGTGGGCTTTTAGATTTTTTTCTATGAATGTATTTTGCTTATTATATTTGAGTATGACGACGATCACATGTTGAAATGGCAACGAGGAGACGAAATACGGGCCAAGCGAGCCTCAGTCGCTCAGCATGGTGAACGAACAAAACAAGTGGTAAGTTAACACTCAATAATGATAGTGGTAAGTCAACACTCAATTAATGCTGCCAGTACGTTTAGAGCGCAAGGCTTTGATTATAAGCGTACAATCGATAACCATTTCTCTTTATACTGATGGCACTGGCCGAAGTGAGAAAATAGTTCAGTTTGTTTCAAAGGTGATGGCACGAAAAGGAAAAGGCGCGCGCCGATGAAAACGAAGGGGAGAGGTCGTAAAGGATGCAGTGTGAAAAAAAAAAAACTAGTGAAGCGCCCTGGAACCCGCGAAACGGAGCTTATTTCCCCTATTTATTTCTGTTTTGGACGAGTCACATCCAGTCCGCTTTTCTCTACTTTCCGCTAAAACGGCTAGAGTTCGACGTGGATAGTCCAGCAGCTGGTGGCAGCCATTTATCGGGCAGGTTCAAAAGCGCGACAAGCCATTGTTGGGAGGTGAAGTGGAAAGTGCGAAATATCATAGATAAGTGCGCTCTTTCACCCAATGGAAGGCAAATACTTTGGTTTCGTCGGAGGCGGGCAAAATTTTACTAGGTTAGGGGTTCACTGGCCATTTTTCCTTACACACAGTTTTGGAATCCTATGATCTGATACTAACCGATAGGAACCGACGAGAGAGAGGCGGGAGCAGAGAGACAGAGCAGGCAAATCTGAACCATTTATCGAATCATCAACTCGCACTGAATTGGCATAAGGGCAAACCGGCCAATTGAAAGAGGTACGCGCCCTCAAACCTGAGCTTAGAGAGTCTCCTTTAGGCCAATGTCAGACTTGGTCGGTTCGCTAGCATCTGCGGTTCCGCCTGCTCCCAGCGTCGCAGCCTGAGTGAGTCATCAATCTGACTGGTACCGCAACGCCGACGCGGGACAATCTAGCGATCGCTCCGACGCGATTCCGCCCAAAAGTCTGATTATCCGGCCTTACCCGAAATTTAGCCAATTGCGTAAACGAACTCAACACTGATACAGTCACTTACCCAGCTTACTCATCAAGCATCATTATCTAAAAGCTCGGTGTAGTGGGTAATAGAAATATCGAGTACGCACGTTTCAGGGAATGACATTACGTAGAGCTTGTAACAAACAGAGAAAAAGAAATCATCACATATCTGTTGCTATTTCTAGGTGCTAACTCCCGAAGAAAAACTGAAAGTACGAAAAGCAGCTCGAGAAAAGATCGTAGGACGTCCACTGCAGCAAGTCGCACTTTTTGTACTGAACAAGGTGAGTTCTATCGTTTGAAACCGTAAGGCTGGGACCGCCCGTGGGGCAAGCAGTGATCGTGATCGTACACTTCCTCTCTTCCTACCTCCCTAAAATCGACTACGCTTCTGCGCAATATAAGATTGGAGAAGGGCACTGAAGCCTGTCCATTCTCTGTGACGGGCGACATCGCCTACGGGAACTATTCGTGTTATGGGAAAATGACGAAGAGAGCGAATATCATTAGAATAGACGAATGTCATTAGAATAAAAGTAGACAAAGTTCGAAGGTAGCTCTGTTCAACATTTTTTGACCGCGTTGGGTACCCGACACGAGGCCCGTCGTGTGTCGACAAGGCAGAGACGCAGACGAGTCAACGGACGAGTCACAGCGCGTGTTGTGGGATGTGAAACGTACTATGGAAATCCTATTTGACTTGACGCTAACTTGACGCGAAATCAAAAAATTGCTGCAACTTGTTCGCTGATCCGTCTGAGTCTCTGCCTCTTTGCTGCGCAACGGGCCTCCTGTCGGGTATCCGACCGCGTTTATAGCTCACGACTTCGAAGGATAGAGATAAGGCGATAATGGTGATAACCACCCTGTTCATTGGGTAGGAAATGAATGAAAGAGCGTTGAAATCGATCTGCCACTGGAACTGAAGAAATGCGGTCGAACCGAGTATGAGCGTGTTATGACGTGTCTGCGTGCGGCTGCACGCGCTGCTTTTTGGAGTAGAACTAGGGTGTCTCACACATACCCTCCTCCTTTCAAAAAGCGAGAAAGCATCGGGTGCAGACCATACACCACAAGTGACGACGGCCTTCACAAAATGTAAATGTTTTTGCCAATGAAATGATTAACCTGTTGCAG